GTTCGTGGTATATGAAAGATGATTTTTGTACGAATTTTCACTCGGTGGGTATATTTTAATAATAGTAAATAACGTATTAATTTTTCACGAATGCCCGGCATTTTTTCTATATAACTTGCTTGTCCGTTTGTAATATATTATTTGGGTGTCATTTTTTTCTAATTATTTCGAGTTTTTTATTGTAAATTATTTTTAAAAACTCATCTATGAGCAACTGCAAGTAAAGGTTGGGGCAAGTATTTTGAGCTTTCCTGTATTGTAATAAGGTAGATAATTCGAGAAGAAATGGAAAATTTTATAGATATTATCGTAACTTGGTGACGTCGTAATTATAGTTCAGATCTAAAAATTTGCCGCAACCTTTAAAAGAGATTTGTATTTAACCATTTCGTAACTAAACTGTAAATCGTTTAAATATAACTGTAAAATTATAAATAATGTGTATAATTAATTATTAATTTTGTTTAATAGTGATGAATGATTATTTATTTGTTTAAACTTATAAATATTAGGTATTTTATTTTTATTTTATAATTTCTGTATAAGATCTTTTGTATACAATTTTATCGCTTGCCGACTTTGCTTAAGCATTATGCGCCAGGAGACGTGTGCTTGAACTACATTTGAACGCAACTTTTTGGTCAGCTATATTTTTGTTGGGTAGCAACATTGCGCGACGTCCTGTGACGTTGTCCAACACGTTTAACAGCAAATGTAGTCTGGTGAATACGATGCTTTATGTAATTTACTAATTTGATAGTTATTATTCTAATGACTTGCCATTGGTATCACAAATTAGTTTTTTAAGCTTTTTACACGATATAACATTTAACAATGATACCAACTAAAATTTTAATTGGATTATTTTAGTAATAGAGTCTTCTTACTTTCATTCTATGGAATCTGAATAAACAGTATGATTACTTCGTTAGGCAATGCGGAAGAAAGCGCTCTTCGTTGCTCAAAATGTTTAGCCATAGATAGTAGAACTCGAGACGTCCTTTAAAAATTGGAAATTGTGATGATGTATTGTTTTTATTGACAGATTTCAATCTAATAGTTAAACCAATACCTTGCTACTATATACTCGATGCTACTGCGTAAATGTTGGCGTTCTTGATCAATATATTATTTGACAATATGCATCGAAACTGAAACTAGCCCAAGCCTAATGGCCGCCATTAACAAAATAACTTATTTTATTTATTTATCTATTTTCAGGTTACGAACACCCATAAAACAATTTACTTACAGACTAACATACATTTACACGTATGGACCGCGACATGTGGCGCAACGTGGGTGTCCGATCGGTGACCCGTCGGCCAAAAGTCCTTCTTCATGAAGGTCGACAGATGTTCACCTTGTGGTGGGACCCCAACTGCTCGACCATCAGGGTAGCTTTGGCTTTCACCCGTATGTACTCCACAATATCCGTAGACTTTGTGGAGTAATGAAGTCGTGTCACGTATAGCAACGTCATCGGTACCGCTGGATGCAATAGATGGTTGGGGCCAGTCGGGGCGGTGCCACTAAGGCTACGGCTAGTGTACTTCTTTTTCTTTTCCACCTTTTTGAAGCCGTCCTCGTCGCACTGATCTAATAATAACAACAGTGGAAAACAGGACTTATTTGTGCCGCCAAACAATGATGTGAGCATTACTGCATTCCTGTTTTGAATGGTAAGAATTCTGGTGAAATTACAGGCACATGGGACTTGTTAACTTTATTCAGACCTCATCTCCGATCATGGCGATTAAAGCTCTTAGTGGCACTGCAATTGTTATAGGTAGGAGTGTCACTAATCACCAGGTCCCTTCACTTGATATCATTATTAAAAAAATGTACAGAAGATTACACATCTTTTTTTCTATGTGTTAATTGGATATGTCAATAAAAAATGCACCACCATATTTGAATGTTTCTGAAGTTCAATTGTAAGCGTATTCTTATGGTATTCTTCTACAAAATCTTATACTGTTCTGTCAAATAATTTCTATTTTAATGCGAAACTAATGAAATTTAAAAACAGGATTTTTTAATTAAAACCTTCATCGACACGGCATTTTCTTGCGTTTGTATAGGTATTAAGGTTGTTATTAGCGGACGTCGAAAACCTTGAAGCTATAATGCAAAGACCACTGACCTACTTCCTAGTATTTATAAAAAATATAATCAGGGAATTTCTCTTCAAAAATAAACACATTTATTTCTTTCCAATAACACCAGCATGATATCATAGACTACCGTGAATAAACAAGTAACTAAAATGAACCAGACACACTATGTCTTCCTCTTACTTTTCCTCGGACTCAAAGGAAGAGATCGGTAATAGCGATAAGGCCTTTGCCCACATTAGTTGAGTCCACAGACCATCATTCTTTCGTGGTTGAGTCTATTGTTATTTTGTATAAGCAATCTTTCATGAAGTGCGGTTCTCTGAATTGTAGATTCGAGGTTTTTGAAGTTTAAAACAATTAGTCGTACTCACAGTGCCATGGCGCACCAAAACGTGTTATAATACAATCGATGTGTAGTCGTTAGGGTAGTTATACGAAATTACGCAATAGTGGGCTGTTAAGAGTTTGCAATTACAAACGAATGTAAACTGCAATGTTTTCAGCTAGAGGCCGCACAATCATATTTTTATTTATTTACATTGTAATGGAAGTGGAGTTTTGCAACGAAATTGTACACAAACCAGGTATCTAGTTTGTGTACAATTTTCGTTGCAGTATCTTTAGTTTTTATAAGCAGTAGAGCTCTTTGTGAAAGAGTTCGTCCAAGCAGTAATGTCAGTATTACTGTGTTCCGATTTTGAAGGGTAGGGTTCCTGGTGAAATTACTGGCACATGGGACTTGTCAACTTATGTCGCTGGGTGACTTATGTCTTAGATCTTTGCGATTTAAAGCTCTGAGTGGCACTGCAACTGTTATTGACAGGCGTGTAGCTTACCATCAGGCCCGCGACTTGTTCGTCACGTGATATTATAAAATAAATAAAAATACGATACGGTAGCTGCGGGAATTACCTGAACTGCGCATGAATTCTCCGGAATTCTGGGTGTTTTTTTTTTGGCTCGTGTCTAGTTTGTACGTTACATAATTTATACAAAGTTTTTTATGAAAACAAAACACCGCAACAAAAAACCACTTCCATTCCCTTCCGTGGCTCTGTAAATAGAGCGTCAGAAAATATAATAATTGCAGATTTCTTTGAAGTTAAAATTCATCTGTGAACTATTGTATTTTCAAAACTTTCAATAGGTTTTGATGCTGAATGTACTTGTGTAATTCTAGCCGAATAACATTGCAAGGTTACGCCCTATGGAATGATCTAATTTGGCTGGTCTATAGTCTTGTGTTATTAAGCCGTTCGCATGTCGAATTGATGTTAGGAAAGCAATAGCCTAGTGATTAGGTAACTTTTCGTGAATGTAACTCTGTAGACAGCCAAATTAAAATATTAGTGCATTATTACTAATCGACTCATCCGATGAACAGAGTCCGATGTGATTATATAGCGAAAAGAGAATAAGTACGTTACGAGAATAATTTCGTTATTCATACTAAGGCTTACGTAAAGGTGTTTTGAAAATTTATATATCTTATTTCGTTTCGGAAATATAAAATCGAACAACGGTGAATCTGACATACACAGCGAAGAAGAAGGAACGAAATGTACTATGTCCTGAGAATAAGTAGTCTTGCACATCGATCTTTATTCTACGGATGAGTCGTAATGTAATAAAGTAGAAATCATTCTGCAAAAGTTTTCTTCGTATAAAGTAAATGACTGATTCACGAACAACGAAAAAAATCTTTTGGAGTAATTTTTTTATCGAAGATCTTTTTGTAGAATGTTGTTCTAAATTTTAAATATGGCATATATATAAAGTGAACTGTAGTTATTTAAACAATAATGTGATTTCACCATCTATTATGAGAAAATGAGGTAACACGTATGACATGTCGTCGTTATAGTGCGTAAACCAATTATCTGGAACATACACAGAATATTACTTAATTTAGGGTAACGCGACAAAATTGCTGTAAAATGCATACATTTTCAAATTTCGGTAAAACATAAAATATGGAATAATCCGTTACAAATTAACGTGTGATGACATTTGTGAAAATAAAACAATTTTTGACACAGTGAAATTTTAATTGCATTTATTTGAAAGTCGATATTTTGTGAAATAATTGTTCTTCCCAGTATAACGACGATATGCCATAGTATATAACCTATAAAATTGTATACCACCTATGCGATAATGAACAATAACTAATGCAATTAAATACCATTTAGCATTTAGCATAATAAATACCATCTTGTAGTTATTTCTGTATATATGAACGAAGCTGTCCACGCTTCCTTCATTGTATGAATTTAGACCGAATAAGTTGTTTGTAGGATATAATTTTGTAAGTATGATGTATGTATTTTGGTGCTGCATTACTAATTTATTTTGTTCTTTTAACTAGGAATGACCAACTGTCTTATATGAAGCGAAACTGACTTAATAATGTATAAATTTGAATATTTTGAATAAATTTCGCTCCGTATTATATTGTTTTATTTTGTGATGAAAAAACTACACTCTAGCCATAATAAACTGGTCGTCGAACCTATAAGGCGCATTTATTGGACACGAATGGCATGGCAAAGTACGCTCTATTTATTTAAAATAAAATAATAAGTAAATAACGCACACACTCAACATAGCCCCGCACTAGGGAAACCCTGTATCGCGGGTGCCATGGACACACACATAGACAACCACAAATTACACCCAAACTCACGAGAGAAATAATTGTAGGCCATACTACTATTTCTCCCGGCTCGGGAATCGAACCTGGAACCTCTGTGTGGCATGGTAACCGTTTGGCCACGGAGGCAGTTAATAATTTAGCTTTTACGTTATTACTTAAAGTAGCATCTCGGGCGAGGTTGACTTCTATTTGGACTACGCGGCGACCGCAGGGTTGTGTTAGTCAGAGAAATTTAGATGTTGCTGCCTATACAGTAAATAAAATTCATATTCGCCATTAATGTACGTGAGAGCGTGGTTACCGGGCGGTCGCCGCGCGTAAACTTTCGCGTCGTGTAACTGGCCTCTTACGATATTTTGTCTAGAGAAATACAATTTTAATATTATGTGGTGAGAATACGTGACACATTGCTAGTTTTGACAATCTGAAAACTGGTCTACCAAAAGTTGTGAATAGGTCGGAAAACAACAGAAATTAAGAGCGGTTATACTTTGCGACTTGTAGCGGTGCAAACGCACGATTGCATCGCTATACTTGCGATTTAAAGGCAATTGCATCAATGCAAACGCGACTGCATTGTTGCAGTCGCTTATGTTGAATCATGTGAGAAAAATCTGAATAGAGTTATGCATGAAATAATATAATGGTATGAGTGAAGTTACGTCGAATTGGAGAATTTTGAAGATTGAATTCTTGTAAATTATATTTTTCTGTATCTAATGGAGCAATGAACAAGTTTGACGTAATTCCACTTATGCCATTCTTCCATGAAGGGTGCGGAATGTCAATTTATTACAACTTCTTTATATAAAAAAAGAACCGACCTCCAAAGTTCGTGATATTACATATGTTTGTTAAGTTTTATTGGAATCGGTTGCCGGAAAGTGCGCGAAACCGATTTTATCGCCTAGTTTGACACACTTACTCGTACAGGTTGAATATTTTCTTCAAATTTAAATGGTACCGATGGTACCGATGAGGGGTTACCCTCTCAACAAAAAAAGAATCATCAAAATCAGTTCTCAATGTCTGTTGTGTATGCATACCTACATAGCATGTGTCATATTATGCTCGGTG